CAATTGTCAATCAACTGGTGTACAGATTCCTGAGCCTACTGGGCTCTATCATATCTACACTTGAAACTGTGTATGGAGTCAGCCTTCACCACATCATTTCCTAATGCATTCTATTTGTCAACAACTCTGACACAGAAAAAGTTCTTGTGTGTGTATGTGTGTGTGTGTGTGTGTGTGTGTGTGTGTGTGTGTGTGTGTGTGTGTGTGTGTGTGTGTGTGTGTGTGTGTGGTATTGCGTGAGCATCTTGGAACATACTGACGCTTCATGACGTCTCCGACAGAACAGCCTATTCTCCCGATTTGACATGCGTCAATCTTTGAGTGGTTTAGTCCAACCAGAAGCGTACGAACCTAGGCAACCCACCAAACCTATCGAGGCTGCGGCTTTTTAGCCCAAGGTATCGCCAGTTCCCCCCCCCCCCCCCCCTGTCCTTTAAGGGGTTAAACTGTGGTCCATAGCGTCAAAATTGTGGTGAATTAAGTGTAAAAACCAGACGGCCTTCTGTGTAGCCTTCTCTCACTCTGTTGTTGTTGTTATAGATTCAGCTACTGGGAACAAAAAGTTGCAAGTAGCACGGGCTATGGCGAGCCCGTAGTGGACTTACCTAGCGGGGCTGTAATTCTTCTCTCACTCTCGGTCGCCTCTCTCTCCAGGCGCTTTCCGGTTTCATTCTCCCTTTCTCCTTCCGGTCTCTCTCTCTCTCTCTCTCTCTCTCTCTCTCTCTCTCTCTCTCTCTCTCTCTCTCTCTCTCTCTCTCTCACCTTCACTCCCTCCATCTCCCTCTCCCAAGCACCTCGTTCCAGTTGCTGACCCGCTAAATGGCCCCAAAACGACCCTTGACCTGGATTGACTGCCCCTTCTGGCCCAACTGACTGACTAATCGACCGACCCCGAGTGATTACCGCCATGGACTCCAAGGTCGTGGAGGAGTTCACCGCGTTGATTGGCTACTTGATTAAGTACTTCCTGAGCTCTCATTGGCTACGCGGGTGTACGCTGAGCGGGATTAGCCAGCCGCGTTAAGGGGTAACCACTTCAGCTGCTTGGCGAAGAGAGGTTGTGATTGGTCCGATGGGCGTTGTTACGTAGTTGTTATTGCTCAGTTAAGCAGAGTAAAACCTACTTAACAGTTCATGGTTCGCTTCCGCATAATGTATTTCGCTTGATTTATCGTTTGAAAAGTTGAATATACTGGTTATATGCGATATATTGTGTAGTTGTTTTTTACAATGAACCTTAGTGAGACTTCATTAAACTAATAAACACTGTTGTGGAAATTTTCATTTATTTATGTGTGACATATATATATATATATATATATATATATATATATATATATATATATATATATATATATAGGCTCTGTGACACCTGCACGAACACGTCAGTCATACTTATAGACATAACTCACTAGAAACATTACACAAATAATTATGTTACTGTCAAGTGCATAATACTTTAATGAGGTGGACGATAAAATAACATTAAACAGACATAAATCATCATTGCCAGCAAGTATACCTTTAATAATGGAA